AATATAAATTCACTATAAAATGAGGGATAAATTTATTTTAAAATTAGCTGCAGTGTGAAAGTCCTCTTAAGAATGACAAAAAAAGCCAGGGCCAGTGACTCAAGCCTTTAATCTTAGCTACTCAGGATACTGAGATCTGAGGATCATGTTTCAAAGCCAACCAGGGCAGAAAAGTCCCTGTGAGACTCTTTTTTTTTGTTTTTTGGGTTTTTTTTTTTTTTTGGATAGGGGGAGTTGGTGGTTAGGCCTGTACTCTGGGCCTGGACATTGTCCCTCAGCTCTTCAGCTCAAGGCAAGCATTCTACCACTGAGCCACCTTCCCAGCCCCCCATGAGACTCTTATCTCCAATTAACCACTCAAAAACTGGAAGTGGTACTGTGGTTCAAGTGGTAGAGTGCTAGCCTTGAGCACAAAGAGGCTCAGAGACAGTGACCAGGCCCTGAGTTCAGGGCCCACAAAAAAAAAAGAAAAAAATTTTAGTATGCCACACCTAATATACTAGTTACTCAGGAGAATCAAGATCCAAAGTTAGCCCAAGCAGATAAAGATAAATTTCCAAATAACCAGCAAAGAGCTGGAAGTAAAAGTGTAGCCTAAGAAGTAGAAAGCCCGATGCAACTGAAAACTCACGGTCCTGAGTTCACGCCTCAGTAACTATATATACATACACACATACACACACACACACACACACACACATATATATATATATATATATATACATACACACATATATACACATATATATGCACATCCATATATTCATCTGTGAAATATCAATGTCCATTCTTCTTAAAAATACATTTGTGACCATTTGAGACAATGTTTCTCTAAAAGGATGCATAGAAATTCATTGACAAGATAATATTATTTACAGTAGCACAGTAAATGTTTGGAAGCCACTTCAATACCACGAAGAGAAGACTAGTTAAGTGAATAAGATAACTAATGAGTATGATTTCTCCTGGGGTGCCATCAAACAGAAAGAAGACTCTCCATATGAAACACGTATGGTCTATTCCACAGAAGCCGTCTCACAATAAGAGAATATTATCTAATGATTAAAGTACATGGTACTGTATGTAGTAACAGTGAGCAACTTATTGACAAACATGTGTATATCATATACACATAAGTTACCATCTATATGCATACAATTTATAAATGCAATCAATATTTGCTTATGTCTGAAGGAAGTTATTTAGATGCTGAGGCAACAGGCGTAAGAGTGGAGATTTACTTTCTATTGATCATTTTTCGAATAATTTTTGTTTTATAGTAGATGTCTACTTTTACCTAAGCAAATACCAATACTCAAGTGTATTATTTTATGTATTTAATGGAGATTTAGTAGCCTCCTGAATACACATGAAAAAAAATAACATTTGTTTTGTGTATAGTAGTTATTAAGATATTACTGAGAGCATTACAGGCATGGCTCAGTTTTAATACTAGCCAATGTGCCAAACATAAGGTACTGAGTTTGAGTCTCAGTCTAGGACCTAAAAGATAAAAGCTAATCACTGAATATTTTTGTAATTACTAGGCCTAACTTATTAACTACAGAGATTAAATAATACAGTCTCCATTTCAATGATTGTTGGAAACAAAAGTTGAATCTAAATGAACACAAAGGACGACTAGGCATTTTCTCTGTTGAGATATATTGACTAAGAAAATAGTGTCAAATTGTTCCTATTTGCTGGGTGCTGGTGGCTCACGCCTGTAATCCTAGCTACTGAGGTGGCTGAGATATGAGGATCATGGTTCAAAGCCAGCCCATGCAGAAAAGTCTGTGAGATTCTTATCTCCAATTAACCACTGGAAAACCGGAAGTGGTGCTGTGGCTCAAGCAGTAGAACGCTCCCCTTGACCTGAAGAGCCCACGTCTAGAGTTCAAGCTCCACAACCGACAAAAGAAAATAAAATAAAAATTGTTTCTATACGTCTGAGCATTACAATTTTTTAATGAAATTACTTCAAGGTCATTATGGAATAGTGAATTCTCTTTTTGTTTAAGTGAGTTAATAATTTCAAATGGTCAGAAGTAAAGCTTTGAAGAAAAGCAGTGACAAATGAATTCTAATTGAAGGTTCAGTTTCTTAAACATTTTCACATTAGATTGACTTCATTCCACAAAACCAGTGATCATACATAGGATCATCATGGAAGCTAGGCAAATTTTTAACAAAATCTAAGACAAGTATGCATGAAATCTTCTATAAACTTTGGTTATATTTTATTTGTTATATTCGATACTATCATAAAATAGTAACTGATCATAAAATGTCATTAATTTGCTGGTAATATAATTGAAACTAATTTGTAATTTATTTTTAATATAGCCAAGTGAAGTAACCAGAAAGACAATATTATTTGGGATGGAACAATTATTTCTTTTATTAGTATGGATCAGTTACAATTAGAATAAATTATATACACTTTATATTTGTCACATAAGAGTTATTAAACCATAAAGGCATTATCAAAAAGGTCTAATATTTTAAAAAAATCTCTAAGGATGAAAAATTATTCCTTTGTCATTAGAAAAACATCATTTAATAGAACAATAACTCTACTTTGAAAAATTATAAAATGTAGCCACAGAAATATATTTTGTGATGTACAGTATATATTTAAATACATATAAAAATAAAATTTAATGGATTAGAGTAGCTTCTACACACAAATTATGGGATGGTTATCTTTATGACTAAGAAAACAGTAAAAATTATTTAGAATATTTCAAAGTTCCTTTGTATGCCTACCACCTCAATCCCAACTCTATGGTGTATTTTTCTTGTAATTATACATGCTAAGAGCAATTCTATAATTCTATATAGAATTATAATTCTGTAATTCTATAATTTGATAATAAATTGACTTAAAGATATAATATTTAAAATGTTTAAAATTAGCAATTGAGTGAATTAACAAAATTAAAATTTGAATCTTACTCAGATATAAACATTATTCAATGTATACATGTATTGGAACATTGCATGGAGCCCGATAATCACACATAATTTTTGTCAATAAAAATAATTGTCTTTTGAAAAAAAACATAGTTATATGAAGATTTAGTGCCTTGTCTCCCAAATCTATAATAGGAAACTTGCTAATGCTTTAAGTCTATTAACAGGCATAGTTATATTCAAAATGCAAAATCATCATTTATTCTGTTTCAAAATGCACAAATAATGTTTCAATCCTCTAATATTTAGCAATTCAATTTGAAAAAAACTTGAGCAAGGGGGCAAAGAATTTGACAGTAATGAGTAAAGCTGAAAAGACATATGACAAACCAATATAGGAGTCCATTGGAGAAGGGGAGTTAGATGAAGGCATAAATAAATACATCCTATGATAGAATGCAAATAATGAAGTAAATAATAGGTCCACAGAAAACACTAGTAGTTTCAGAAATAATAGATGACAACTGGTCGAACAGAACAAATTCTGTACTGTTTTTCATAATTCTTCCATAGAAGATAAATTCCTATTTTTCTTACCAGTCAGATTCAAAGATGGTCTACAAGTGTCCTAGTACAAGAAATGATAACATAGATGGTCCCCCCAAAATATAGCACAATACAAATGGAAAACGTCTTCCTAAAGACAATTTAAAAAATTATAAGAGAAAAAAATAAGAAAATGAATGAGTAAATTAAGAATATTTAAGAAATAGTAACAAGAAACTTGCATTCACAATAGGGTTATTTTTAAAAGGTGTATGAGTTCACACTTTAAAAATGAAAAGGAAGAAAACTGATATAGCAAACTATAGAAATGATTCCTGAAAGTCTAGTGGAAGAACAGCAAAGGGGGTAACAATGTTTGGCAAGAAATGTACTCATTACCTTACTCATGTAACGCTAACCCCTTTGTACAGCATCTTTTCAATAAAATTAAATTAAAAAAGAAAACTGAGATAAAACCTGCATAACAATATGCATAAAAGGAAGGAGCAAGAAAAATCAGGAACCTGCGCCAATATTCATATATTATGACTATATAATATTGCATTTCTACTTACCCATCCTGACATACAGGGCAAGTGTCCACCACAGGGAAAAAAAATACAATCTGTAGCAATATTAAGACTACAATGAAAATGATAAAGATAATTGCTTAAGTACAATCCCATACTGAGAAGGAACCAATATGTTAGGGAAGGAGGAGAAAGGCAGACTTCCAACAGAAGGAACAAGAAAAGAAAAACATGATAGAGAGATAAATAGAATTTGGAAAAAAATAATGTACTCTACCACATGATGACTGTTAAGATAGAACCAAAATAATCCAATTCAAGTTCTTGAAATTTTACTAGCATGCTTGAGACAGTGTTAGAACATTTTAAAGTTACTAAGCTTCTTGAAGTACCTCAGATGAAGTACTAAGACAATTGGATTACAATATAACAAAAGTTTTTTATCCATGAGGCTTTTCATTTTGTAAGTTCAGAGGCAATAATGGTGTTGGTATGCAGAACAATACTGGAGAGATAGGCAAAAGAAGCCATAAATTTCATCAATTCAACTGATGAAGATAGGGTGAAAATGAACAAAAGTATGACGCATTGATTTTTTTCTATATTTTGCAATGCACACCAAGAATGAACCTGCAAAAGAATTAGTTTTATCCAAAGATCTCTATTGCCTATATAGCAAAATCCTATATATAGCTTTCAATCATTTTAATCTTCTTTAGAAATAATGGTGCCTGGATGGAGCACTTGTCTTGCCCATCTATACCAACTTTGATCCATTTTTGAGATTTACACAAGTCCCAACAGCCACTTGTCACTTAGGCTTAAGCAGGTTGATGTGGTCAGGAAGTGATGGATGTGATAGGTTTTACACTCTAAGCATTAAATTAACAAGATTTGCATTAACACAGTTACAACATCATCACTGTCTTATACTTGATAGAAATTCTAGTGGTACAATGTTGACTTTTTTAAAAAGGTAGTACATTTTTATTTTCATTCTTCTTGTGTGCAGCTTCAATATTTAAAAAAGAATGTTGGAATTGTTTTTAAGTTTACATATCTCCTTTCTAGCAGAAGCTATGGAAGATTATCAAATAATCCCTATTGAATTATTTCTGTTATGTAATGATAAGCAAGTTCTACTACATTCCTATAAAACAATTCACTGCTAAGACCTGGAAAAATCAAAGCCACATTGGAAATCTTACAACAGAAATCAACAGATTTTACTAGCTTTTATTTAACTACTACAAGCTTTATCATGAGTTACCTATTATATAAAAATGAGCAACATGAATGGAGGTGGGAAAGGCTACTGGAATTAGGTGGACAATAATACCACATCCCCCACTGTTGTTTCTGAGTCTTGACTGTGGTTAGAGCTGATGCCAGTGTCTGAATCTGTGTCGTTTATATACGTGTTAAATACCCTTTGTGTCAAGGGCAGGACCTCTCCACTGCTAATGGGGACTTCAGATTCCTTCCCTCTGTTTTCCTTTAACTGGCATCCATCTTGGTTGCTAATGTGAAATGAATTGAGCTCCTGGGCTAGTAGTTCATATTCCTTGGCTTTCATCAGAAGCAATGAGTCACTGTATTTAATCTCCTTCTGGATGCCACTCAAGTGAGAGTGGATTTTCAAACCAGCTTTCATACTTTTCTCCAAATCACACTTAACACTTTCTAGATGAGAACTTTCCACTTCACCGACGGCTGCCCCTTCGGAATCATCCATGACTTCGAGGCAGACACTCTTGACCTCTTTCTCTATTTCTGCAGAGAGCTTATCAATGAGCATTCTGTAGTATTTCAGCCGTTCTTCCAACTGTGCGATGTCATCGCTTTCGTTCAGGTCCTCCAGAATTTGGTTTTCCTCTGACTGCAGATCGAGCTTCAGCTCAACTTCACTGAGACTGGGCATTAAATATGCATCCTGCACATAATTTTCCCCATTATTTTCTACCCGGTCGAGGTGGAATTTTGCTTCACACTTTTCAATTTCCAGGTCCAGCTCTTTCATCCGCTGCACTTGCTGATGAATGGTGTGGTCCTGAGAAATGATCAGATGAACTAATGTCTCCATATGATCGCGCTCGTGAGACGCCGTGTCCTGCTTAATCTTAGCCAGCTTCCGGAAAGTTTTTCTCACGATTCTTTTCTGTTTGTCTGGTGGTAATGTCTTCATGTAAGTGGCTGGGCTGAGCTCCCACGGTTTTTCGGTGTTTTGGACTAATTTTGTTTCAGCGGTCCTCCACAAAGGAACTGGAAGGAAAGCATCGGCTTTAACCAGAACAAATTGCATATTCGGCTGCTCATCGCCCCAAGCTTTCCACAGCTTCAAGATTCTCGTCAGCGGAGGGAGGGCGCGTTCAGAGCCTCTCCACTTCTCTACGATGCAGTAATCACTGGGCTTCCCCAGGAGAAATCGTTTTTCCCCCAAGGTAGTCTCATGTTCCTCCAGCAAAGCCTGGATGACATCAGCGGAGGTGGTGCGTTTAGTTAACCCACAAACAATCTTCTCTTCTTGGCAAACCCAAACCACGATTTCCTTCTCTTCTGATTCCATGTCTTTAGTTGGAGATCTGCAAGAAAAACAAAGTCCACTGAATTGCTGTCAACACTTTTGTGTCAAGTAGGAAAGATGGGTTAGCATTAAACTGCTTTCTAGATTTCACTCTTTTTGAGTAAGAGACACACTTTGGGATTGTGACCACCTACGGATCAGAAGATCTAATTCCTGGGGAACACACACACACACACACACACACACACATACACACACACATACACTTGTGGATAACATCTTAATTTCCTTTTTATACCCAATCTAAAAAGCAGAAAAATAGTTCTTAAAGAAGAAATATCATCAAAAACAACTGAAAGCACTTTATATTTTTCTTTGGAAGTTAACTATGATGCATATACAGAACTGTTAAGATTCTGACTATAAACAGAGAGGAGATGAAGAAGAGTTCAATGATTTTTTGGAGGGGGGCCATAACACTGGAGAAAGGACCATGGAAGCATAAGAATGGTGAGGTGTAATGGAGTCATAGAGTAAACATTTGTTGAGGATTGAAAATAGCTAATTTTTTTTAGTCAGTCAATTTCTGCCAACTAGGTGCCAGATATGTCTGAATATACTACCTTAAGGCAATATCAGAATACACAGAAAAGAGTACAGACACAGATATGTAATCAATATAGCATCAAATGGTAATAAGTGCACTGAAGAAGATAAGATGGGTGTAGGGGTAGAAAGTGTCTTGGAATGAGAGAAGGTGTCTTATATTTAGTGTTTAGGAGAGACTTCCCTATGGAGATAATCTATGAACAGGAACAAAAATGCAGTGATCTGAGATGTACACTGAAAATTCTAAAACAGAACAAAAATATAGATCATGAAGTATATTCAAAAGAATGTCCATGTACTTTGAAGTTAAAATAGTAATGTTGAGAGTTGTTGATATAAAGGAGAAAGTCATGCAGTAGGTAATGAGGTCAAGGAGAAAGGTAAAGCCTGGCAGAATATAACAAAGAGTGTGTATTTTGTTGGGATTTTAATGGGAAACTATTGGAAAATTTTAGGTGAGTATGACTGGATTTATGCTTTTTGTGTATCTGGCTGTGTTTGTGGACTATGCTGTAGAGAAGAAAAAAGTAGAGGCAAGATGACTGAATGAGAAACCTTCTACCGCACACTAAGAGATAGATTCTGTAGTATTCTGAACTAGAGTTTTACCAGCAGAGATATTTGGAAGTAGTCTATGTTTATACAAAGTTTGTTTGTTCATTTGTTTATGAAGTACTAGCCTTAAGCACAGTAAACAAACACTGTATGCTCTAGCACTGAGATAGAGCCTAAGCCCTCACAAATACAATTTGGCAGTACATTCTCTTGTAGTACAGAGGGTCTGAGTGTTCAAGTCTGTTTTCCATGAATATAACAAAAGACCAAGGCAGGTTATCTTCTAAAGGAACATGATTTGTTTTGCTTCATGGTTCTAAAAGTTCAAAGTTAAGAGGCTATGTCAGCTGATAGTGCTTCTTGCTTTTGCATGACAGTACGATCAGGATTACCTTGCCTGAAGTCCACATATAATCTTAAGAAGCCTCAGAAATCTAGTCACAAGAAAATCACTCTAATCAGCCTATACAATTCTGATCTCCTCTCAAAGTCTCACTTTCTAAAGACTATAGCCAGGCATAGTTAAAGTTGCACTCCCTTAATACTATTAATGTATAACTTAGAGGGACTTAAATACATGACATATTTAAAGCAGAGCATTAGGGGTTGTGGGTAAGCTTAGGAACAGATATCTACAGAATATAAAAAAAATAGTTTTCTTAAGGAAAAAGAGAAAGCCTCATGATGTCTAATTTATATTTTAAAGAACGTTAAGATTGTGTTCACATGAATATAAATTAAACTAACTTTGTCTTTCATAATGCAAAGAAACAAATGATCTAAAATGAATTATATTACAATATAATTTATGATGACATATGACTTTTGAAGTAGAAACTGGTTGTTGTGTAAGTTAAGTCAAACTCATTTATCATGTACTTATATTTTACCTTCAAAGCATGTTGACTCCATGAATCACACACTAAAGAATTCTCCCCCGGTTTCTAGAATCTCTTACCAATTAGAATTTATAATGTTTATGTGTTCGTAGCAAAAGTGGCTTATACTATGCTACCAACTTTATTTTAGGTGAGTTAATTATGCTGCTTATTGACCCTACTAAGATGAAAAGATAATTAGGAAAGGTACAAGAATAAGTCAGTCACAAGAAGTTAAGGTTAGGTCTATTTCCTAAAAAAGAATATACAGTACAACTTACATATTCAAATCTAGCGAGTAAAATTTTACAAAGAGTTACTCAAAATCTACAGAGGTGTGATGTTTCTTTTATAAAGTATTTTGCACAGCATGATTCAAGGTTGAATAGTGTTATTTAGATAGATGTTCATGATATCTTAACAATATTATAATTTTTAATTTGATAATTCTATATAGCAAAAGCTAGGTTCAAATTTAGGATAATAAAACTATTTTTGGCATCCTGAGTGATGGGGACCTAATACACAAAAAGTAAAGACAAGTGGACACTCAATGTAACTGATACCAATTATTGTCTTAAGTTATGCATAGATTGCACACACTACCTCAGAGACACTCTCACACATAAACAAACCTTTCTGGCTGGGTGCCAGAAAGGCACTGATTAATCACCAAGAAAAATCAAATGTGGAGCTCCAGCCTTGAGCAAAAACAAACCTTGACAGACAATGTTCAGTCCCTGTGTTCAAGATACCGACCAACAAACACACATATACATTCATACACATACACAAACACCCCTCCACACCAACAGTAACATTTCTTTGACATGAATACTACAGTCAAAATTATTTAAAACATTTTATACTATATATTGAAGAGTTTAACTTGGATAATTTGAGAAGTAGTCATTTATATTCTTTGCATTTTCCAAATGTGTAATTACAATTCATTTCACCATGATGTTTTAATAAATTATGTTAGATACAATAGCAAATAGGTATTATCAATGTCAACTTTAGGTAACATTACTAATAGCTATCATGGTTAACTTAGGATGTCCTGTCCAATTGAAAATATATAATGTCAAAGATAGCAACTATTAAATATAAATAGTCTACACACTGTTCCACACTCTGACATATATTACATCATTAATTGTTGTGATTATGTAAGGTCAATGGTAAGCTTAATGTCATTTTATAGATAAAGAAACTGAGGCAAACTGAATGTCCTCACTTTAATTAGTAGTGGATTAAGGATTCATATTCAAGCTAGAGAGCAAGCTCCAAAGTTTGAAGTTTTAGCCAGTACACTTCAAGAGAAGTTTGTACATTTAATGATTTAGGTATGTGGGTCAAATTGGAAATCAAAAGCACTACTTGTTAAAAGAACTTTTATTATATAAATTAGCCTTTGATAGCAATATACACAACTTGCCCAATCAGATCATTCAACTGATCAAGGAACAAATTTTCAAGGGGTATCCATATAGAAAAGTATGAAGGAATATGTTACCTTCTGTACCTTTCTTTTAAAAAACCAGTTTTCTGCCAGGTGCTGGTGGTTGAGGTCTGTAATCCTAGTTATACAGGAGGCTGAGATCTGAGGATCATGGTATAAAACCAGTCTGTGCAGGAAATTTTGTGATTCTTGTCCCCAATTAATCACCGAAAAGCAGAAAATGGAGCTGTGATTCAAGTGATAGAGTGCTAATTTTGAGCAAAAATGACCAGGGACAGTGGCCAAGCCCTGAGTTCAAGCCAAGTACTTTCTCTCCTCTCTCTCTCTCTCTCTCTCTCTCTCTCTCTCTGTCCCCTCTCTCTCACCCACATCCAAAATAAAACAAATTTTCTTCTTGAGCTGATACAACCTGAGCATCTCCTATAGCCAAAAACAAAAACAGAAACAAAAACAAAACAAAAAACAAAAAAGCCTTTCATATACTCAAGATCTTAAAGTAGTCCCTATGTTCCCCTTTCTGGTTGGGAAGCATCACTACTGTGCCTGTAGCTAAGGATGACACATGACCTATATACTGGAAGAGCTGGAAGAGCTGTGAATGACACTGGAAGAAGGCAAGGACTAGGAAACTGTTGCAAGTATTAGAACAGCAATAACAGTGTACTAAGTGATTCTACAATATTTCAGAGTAAGATGTTCCCTGCTTTGAAAGAATTGGGTTTTAGCCTTCTCTAGAGATGTTCTGGATCTCAGCTTCTGTAGGTACATGCCACTATTGGTCATCTAAATTCAAAATAAATAGTTTTGTTTATATATTTGTACCAGTATCAGAGCTTGAAGACTCAGGATCTGACCCTCTTGCTTGGCTAGCTTACTCAAAGCTGATGATCTATCACTTGTGTCCTGTCGCACATCCATCAAGAAAAATTTTGATTCCATGTTGCATATAAGTAGCACCCTAGAATCTCATTGACTCAAAAACTTCCTTTTAAAATGTATTTTCAAAATATGCCGATACTCATGTTTTATTGGGCCAATGATTACTAAATATTTGGAGGAATATTTTACATTAATCATTCAAACCAAGTAATTTTCAAAATTTCGGGATCTTGGCAGCACATTTAAAAGTAATGATCATTCAATACTGATGCGAGGTGATAAATTTCCCACAGCCAGCATATGCTTTATCATGTCTAAAATCTATTTTATAGAAGGTGTAGGAGTTTGATAACTCTGAGTTTCTATACTTGACAAACATTGTTATGCACCTGCTCTATATTTGGAACTGCCATGGGAACGGTGAGTCTACAAACACATGCATAATTTGTAAGGCATCATCTCCAGCGTATTGTAGAAAACCATACAATTTGGTGGAAGTGCAACACTGTTTAATGTCAGTTGTGGTACTTAGTTTCTTATTATACCAATGATCTTCAGCTGCAAAACAAATATAGACTATTGATTCATAATTTTATAAATAGAAAAAAGTTCCAAATAAAAAAATAAAGACAAGACAAAATATTCACCAAAATTAAACTAATGTAGTACTCT